GCTATTTGAAACAAAAGGCAGCTACTAACGCGTTATTGCTAACTCGATTTGTTCGATACGTACGCTAACTCGAATACGTACGATTTGAGCTCAAGTTGGTTGCGTTACGCGTAGTAAATCGTAGGTATTATAAGGCTAGTAAATGACGAATTTCCCTTGCTTATTGTTGTCACACTCCTCCCTATTATGTACTCCTGATATACATGTATAGTTGTATACAGATGGCACCCTTCTTAAGTCCAATGAGGAGTCCGACTTGATAGCTCTCAAGCACTGGATCATTTGAAAATACACCTCCTTGCAAACAGTTACATTACACAAAATAATAGGCTCAATTAATTTTGAAAAAACTACACATCAACACGCCACTCGAACATTCTATCGATTAAACAATCAATAATTCGACCCGTCAAGCAACGATGTACGATGATTCGCGCGGCGGTCGTGCGGCGGTACCTTCAGGTTGCCGTTGAGCAGGTCGGCGGCCCTGCGGCCGACGCGGGCGTAGGCGACGGTCATGTCCTGCGCGGTGACCGTGATCTCCTCACCCAGCACGTCGTCGAGAGCCAGCTTGCGGACGAGCCGCTCAGCATCGCTGCGCTGTAGGTGCCGCCCCGCGCCGAACGCCGGCAGACGCTGGTGGCCCTCCTGCTCCACTCGCGCCGCAGACGAACCTGCAGAGCAAGCAATTCAATTCAATTTACTTTATTTACACTTACGAATTACAGAGACTCCCCGACTTACGAACTTTAGATGATATGAACAATTTGCCCTGAAGTCCATTAGTGTAAAATGTCAATATTGGTGAATAAAAAGACACAATCGCCCTCCTGATTTTGACTTTCGCGAAATCCTGTGTTCACGTATATGCTTACACTATGTACACTTCTAGGTTACTCGATGTTCACACGTACATATACTACACTACTGTACAATACTGTATATGTACGTGCATATGTTAAACAAGTAAATCGACAATACTGATGAAATTAAATCGAATGAAACTAGCAAGCAAAGGCTAGAGGTCTCAGTAACGCAGATGGGGTCATGGTTAGGGTACACTTCTGTAGTACAAGTCTGGTACACTTTGTGTATACATATATGTACCTCGGGTACATATCTGTAGTACCTGATACGACAACGACCCCTTCAGCCTCAGTAACTGGCAGATGGGGAGGGAGGAAATAGGACGCATCTGTCATTGAATATCACTTGCGACCAGGTGTTGTTTGTTCAAATGCAGTAATGTTCGATAGATGGTTGGGAAAGACCAACGAAGCAAAACTGTGGTTTGATCACAAAAACATTTACACACAGCTACCAGTTTAGATGGATAGATGACACACAAAATGGTAATTTTTGTTATAACTTGTTATCGCATTTGCTTGACACTTCGGAAATCAGTGATGCGCATCAAATTTGTCTGAGATCTTATCAGGTGTAATGTACTGTGCAAGTTTATAATGACACGAAAAAAATATCTTCATGCTCACACGGAAGAGATGTATGCCGGCTTAGAATAGAAACATGTTACAAACCTCTAAACACCTCTACAAAGTGCAGCAGAGTGAATTTCTTCCTCCAGCTGCCCTGTGACGATCCCTGCGCCACCTGCTGCACACTCTGCACCAATAGCTGGGCTTCTCGTGTCATGTCCCGCTGCATGTATGAGTCCTGGGGGAGGAAACCACCGACCATCAGCATTGACCCTTTAGTGTCCATATACGTACTAGGGGTGGGACGATATACAGCGATATGTTGACTTATCCCAATACAAACCTTGACAATACATGTATCAATACGTTTGACCATTCCCGATACACGTACCGATACTCTACTAAACAAAATACATATAATTTAGTAGTGTAGTTTCATAAAAAACAAAGCAAAAGAAACTTCACACTTTTCGAAAGAAAACACAATTCGCAATTCCAGAGCAGTCGTTTACTAAGCGTTCCACAATACTGATTTGTAAGCATCACATGATTGGTAGAGTTTCAATGGAGTTATAGTTTGCTAGTCAGTTTCATTTAAAAAAGACCGCGATACATATCATAATATGAAAGCTGTATCGTGATACGAATTCTGTGCTACCCGTATTATTTCACCCCTAATACATACAAATGTGCAATAAACACACACACACGCACGCACGCACGCACACAAACACACACACATGCGCACACGCACGCACGCACGCACGCACGCACGCACGCACGCACGCACGCACGCACGCACGCACGCACGCACGCACGCACACACACACACACACACACACACACGAATGCACGCATACAAGCAATATGTACAATAACGTGTTCCCATGTGCGTGTCATGCAAGCATATCGCATCTCTACACATGACAACAACATACACGTAAACCTGCAAATCAGGCTCCAGAATCAGTCACCTCTCACAAGCTAAACCTCCACTGGTACGTTGACCGCCGCATCGACCCCCCCCCCCAACCGACCGCACGCCCGCCCGCTCACCTCTGCGCGACAGCTGTCGCAGCGCGTCACCATGTTGGCCTTGCACAGCTTGCGGTCGAACAGCTCGCCGAAGTATTCGAGCTGCTGCGCACGTCGGCAGTCGGTGAGGTTCTCGCAGTACTGCACGATGCGATACAGGTTGTCGATGTGCACACGCTTCGCCTCCGGGCTGGCGTCCGCATCGCCTGCACACATAGGTGGCAGCAGTGGTGGTGAGGTACAATACTGCTGCGATGCGCAACGATGCAACTAACATTGTTGTTTTGACCCATTACGATCAGGGGTAGATAATAACAATGTATTTGTCGATTTGTCATTATCTTCCCCTGTTACGATGAAATACCGCTACAATATTAATGTGCATGTTATCAACATTGTTCTGACATATTGTGGTAAAATATTGCTGCAATGTGCATGGATGCAAGTAACATTACCGGGATGTATTAAGGAGCAATACTGCTACAACGTGCAAAGATGCAACTAAGACTGCTGCGATGCGAAAGGGATGCAACTAATACAGTTGTGAAATATTGCGATACAACACTGACATGATGTGCAAGGACGAAACTAATAGTGCTGCGATGTATTGCAATGCAATCAAAACTGTGCAAAGATGAACTCCTCCTATGTTTTGTGACACTTACGTTCAACCATGCGCCGTAGGCGGTGCATGTCCGAGTACGCATAGTAGAGAATGCATCTTGCTGGCAGTCCGTCCCTGCCGGCTCGGCCTGACTCCTGGTAGTAGCCCTCCATGGACTTGGGCAGCGAGTAGTGGATGACATAGCGCACGTCAGGCTTGTCAATACCCATGCCGAACGCTATTGTGGCGCACACAACCTGGAACATGGAACATGATCATTGCATTGCCACTGCATTACAACGCTAGCGTAGAAGTGCTGTCTGACGAGTGTCCCTCATGCTCAATGACTGACGAAAACCCTGCTTGAGTATAACATTTACACAAGGAATTATGAGTAAAAGCTTCTGAAGACTTAAAACATCATTTCTTATGCCAGCAGGGATAGAACCTGTAAGCTTTAGCAACAATTAACAGCAGAATACCTAGAAAAATGAAAGCAGTTATCACAAACACAATTGAGATAGCCCGATCAACAATTATTCATCACAAGTTCGTTTCGCGATGGTGCAATAGGGTAGATGAATTATACCTGACATCTATTCTCGTTGATCCATTGTGTCTGTACATTTGTGCGCTCAGTTGAACTCAGTCCAGCATGATATGCCTTGCCTTTCACACCTGCCCTCACAAGCTCCTCTGCCATCTTATCACACTCGTTCCTGTCGTAATCAGCACAAGTGAAACACAACTGCAGGAATCAGATCCAACCACCACTACTGTTTACTCTGTGCTGTCACCTGTTGTGAAAGGCACAACTGCAGTGATATCAATAGATAACCATGATAGTACAAAGGTAAAACATACTAACGTAATTTCCTCGATTAGAAAGTAAGATTATGGGAGATTTACCTAGAGAGACAGTATATAATCCCTGATTGGCGATTGAACTCAGTTTTTATCAGTTCGATGATGACTTGGGACAGTTTTTTCGGCTGCTTTGGCCTCACCTCATATTGCAGGTTTGGACGATTGAAGCTTTGCATAAACCTGGAAGAAAAGAAATTACATTTCCATGTACTTCTCCTACCCACGCCAGGATAATTAGACAAGTGTACTGTAACACTAAATAATAACAGTACTATTAAGGTTTCTAAAGATGGTCACCACTTTTTACACCAGTGTGCGATATCTCACAACGTCGGACTCTAGAGAATACACGTACGCACCATTTCGGGTTCTTCATTCCTAGCTGGTGCAGGATGTCCTGTCGCACGCGTGGCGTAGCCGTCGCTGTCAGAGCCATCATTGGCACACCCGGGAACTTCTGACGTAGCAGGTTCAGCTTCTTGTAGTCAGGTCGGAAGTCATGACCCCAGTTGCTAACGCAGTGGGCCTCGTCGATGACGAAGCGCGACAGTAGATGGCGCTGGTAGAGGTTGGCGAGGGTGGACAGTAGTTTGGTGCTGGCAGACAGCTGCAGAGAACATTAGGTGCGATTATTTGCCAATCACTAACAATGTATGGATGAGTGATACAAATTTTGTTAAATATACTTGATGTGGTTCATCTAAACATGTTTGCGCATGAAAACAGAGTTAACTAACAGAATCGTTACAGCACACATCTCGATCTATCTCTTGTATACACACTTAGGTACTATAATTATTCTTCTGATTCCTATATAGTCCACTCTAGCTGACAATGTCTCTCTGCCTGTACTAAACGAGCTGACAGCCAGCCTGTAATAAATGAGGTGAGAGTTGGCTTGCAGTACAGCTGGTGGGCAATACCTTCTCTGGTGTTACATAAAGGCACTTGATCATCGGATCTCGCATCGACAGCTGTCTATAGATGGCATCAGATTGATTCTCTGTCATTTCGCCGGACAAATGTGTGGCTGGAACCTGCAATGGTGGCTTAGATTGAACGCGTTTGTATTCGTAAAGAAAAATGTGATTACTGGCACCAGCTTCTCAGAGACGCTTTACTTCACTTCACTTACTTCCTTCACTTTTCCCATTGGGGGACCAGGAGGAAAAGTAATTAAGTACTTCACTTCTTTACCACGACATCTTACGATGATCCAACACAACTGCGCCACATTTCTATGCTCACAACTGTGATAGCTGATCAGAGACACAATGCCAGCTAGCACTTCCTGAGTTTAGGCACTAAACATGCTAGCTAATCAGGCAATTTACGTGAAGGTGCCACTGAAGGGCAGCGATTGACTTACATCAAGTGCGCACAGCTTCTGCACCTGGTCCTGTATGAGAGAGCGGAGGGGAGACACGACGATAGTGACACCCTGTGTGACGAGAGATGGCAGCTGATAGCACAGACTCTTCCCACCTCCTACAAAGGTAAAGAAATGTACCGTAAGGTACTGTAAATCACATTTTTACTACATGTACTGTATATGCTTTGTGAATGTAATCTGGAGACAATAACACTGTATAAAAAAATATAAAAAACGGTACAACCGGAACCTATAAAGTCGTTATACTTATATTAGAGCCTGTATTAAGTACACATTTATGTTACTACATTGTATTCACTGGGAATTGTGCACGACTACCAATATTGTACTGTATAATGTATCTTTACTATATATGCTCACTGTATGCTTTGTCAATGTAATCTGGAAATAAAATCTCCATTAAAAAAAAAGGTAGAGAAATGTACGTGCACGTGCAAGATTAATTTACATGAAACCGAGATGTTAAGTCACTTGATTGAGAAAGCATTAGATCAGACTTGTTGTTGCCGCTGGACTCACTACGTGGTATATAAAGGTTCTGGCCCTATCATCACTACTACTGAACATCAGAGAAACGTGTACAGCTACCGTATTCTCTCGAATAAACGCCCCGGCGTTTATTGTTTTCGTCACACTAATGACCCCGGCGCCTATTCAAGCATGCCTTTATTCAGGCAGGGGCGTTTATTGTTTTACTGCATGCTACACCCGGTATTTAATTTATTTCCTTCGTAATATATCTAGAGACAGGCCTGTTATTTCGTGCAAAGATCTGATATCCAACACAAGAATCTACTATCCCGCGGATATCGGGATACTGCTAATTTCGACCCCCTGTATTCTAATCTATATATAGTATATACACACAATAGCCTGTGGCGATAATGTCAATAGCAAACGTGAGCCAGACAGTCACAAACTGTATACCGGTATATACATCATCCCCCCCCCCCCCCCGGCGACTACTCAGGCCCCGGCGTTTATTGATTTAAAGTATCTTTACCCCCGGCCCTTAATCACACATGCCTTTATTCAAGCAGGGGCTATTATTCGAGGGAATACGGTAGGTCCCGTTTTACGATGACCCATTTTACAACTTTTCACATTAACGACCTTTGCAAAAATACCTAAACAATTTAAAATAACCAAAAAAATCGCAACTCAATAACACATCGCAGCAACGCGCCTGTGAGTCCAAACATGCAATATGCGCTTCTTTTGTTTTTCGTGATGCATTGCGGGTGGAATGATAGCATTTAATTGCATTATAATTTGGTCTTGTTTTACGACTTTTCATTTTACGACACTGTTTTACTGGAACCTAACCCTGTCGTGAAACGGGACCCACCTGTACATGGTACGTCGGGGTAACCGAATGTCATACTCACCTGTGGGCATGAGGATGAAAGTGTCCTCTCCCAGTAGGGCTGCGTTCAGCGCCTGCAGCTGGTTGGTGCGGAACGTCTTTAGTCCGAACACGCTGCGAAAGACCTTGAGCAGTTCTGCGGAATGCGGGAACTTAAGTCCCTGGAAGTGGCCACTGGAACCGTCGTCACGAAAGTTCCCGCGGAATTTCGCCCCTGTGTCTGTGAAGATTGGAGGCAGGACATAAATGAGCAGTACTGCCAGTTACCGTCCACATTGCAGATGCGATTTTTTGTTATTCTTTGTTTATATATGCAAAATGTTTCTTGGCAATCCAGCTAACATACCTGGCTGTTTCTGTGAAGCAGCCAGTGAGCCCTCTTTGCTTGATGTGTTTGGTTTGGGTATCGATAGCACCCGTGTAGTTGATGGAGAAATTCTCGCTGAAACACAGGATGCATATTGATATCACTTCCGGAACTATCGGCAAGACAATCTAACAAAAGAAAGGGGTATGACCCACTAGACCAGTAAAATGAAAGTGATATTATGGATACAAACTGCCAATCACAACAGCCCTGATCTTAATATCCTCGTAGAACTAAACAAATATGTTGAATTTAACTGGATGCGTATACTTTCAAAGATGGTCAGATGTGCATGTACTGTAAAGCCAATATTCATATCACTCCTTAGCTGGACCGAGAAGCAACAATACTGCACATGTTTCATATAGCCTTCATGCACAAGAGTTACCTGGCGATGATACAAACGGCTGCTGTTGAAAGTATTCTTTCTCGTCAAAGATTTCCTCGTTGATCACGTCATAGATCTCATTCGAGACATGTGCCACGGGACTTTGCATCTGCAGTTGCCCCCTGCCAAGAGTATCCTTCGGCAACGTGTTACCATAGCTGCATTCTGGCGAGGCATTCACAAACAGCTTTCCATGTCCGAGACCAATGCTGCTTAACCTGCCAGCAGCAGCAGCAGGAGGAGGCGTCACAACTACACCGCCAGATGAATTAGAGCGTGCCAACTTCACACCATGTTCATAGAAACTATCACCACCTGCTGGCAGTGTAGAATTCCCGCAGGGCGCAAAGCGCGATCGGACAGCAGAGGTTTTTGTGCGTCTCGCCTCAGCCGGAGAGGCGAATGTCGTGGTAAAGGGCTTGGGCGTGGAGGCGCAGAGATTGAGCCTGGTGTTCAATGGCTCAGACAGCAGCTTCTCAGCCTGGTCACATTTCTTCTTCACCTGGCTCCTGCATCATGAACCGATGACAAGTCTGTGAGGCTATCAACCTCAGTCGTCACACCATCAATATCCCTACTTTGCATATATATGCACTGGTGCAAAGTAAATTAAGGATCACTGACACTTAAAATATTTTTATCAACCAATTAAGAGAATTTCACGGCAAGTTTAAAACTGGTTTTGTGTATGATGCCATTTTCTTTATAATGCTTTACATAACCATAGTTACAATAAAAATAACGATGTTCATATTTGCATCTGTGAATAAACGTCTATCCCTTTTTCTAACGTCTCACTTCCTTTTCAATCATATCTGTATTTACCTTGCATTGATCCATTGCATTAGTTTCTTACTATCCAAACCAGGGAGTTGCATGACATGATGGGGCTTCAGAGCGCAAATGACATCACACAGCTGTTCCATCGCCGTGTTGTGAAGCAGACGCAGATTCTCTATGTGTTCCTTCACCTCGCACTCGGGGCTCTGCAACACAGAGGTTTCTTGTTAGCAGAACCACGACATCAATGTGAACACGATTTATTTATTTTCGTCGACCAAGGTGGGCATGGTGTTGCTTCCTTGAGTCGGGAACATTTTGTTCCTTACAAGGCTATACTAGTCCGGGTTCGCCGTCCTCCGGGCGAGGTATTTTTATCGTGAAACCATCACTCGTTGCCACACTATCTCTATTTGCTGAATGCTAAGCAGAGGAGCCGTGTGTATCATTTTTCAAGTCTTTGGTATGACCCAGCCGGGAGTTTAACCCCCGACCTTCCACATGCGAGGCGAGCACTCTACAATTGAGCCATCGCTGCAGTATTAAACGCGGTGAACACGATCTGTACTCGAAATGCTGTGCCAATGAGTCTCGCAACAACAGATACTCTCGCGTTTCTCTGCAAGCGATTTCATACCAATGTGTGAATTAACTTTTTCATTGTGCGCATGACAAATGTCATGTATCAGGGTTTCTTATACATAAGAGGCACAGTGGCGCACCGCCGTTGTCATATTTAACATCGCCGTTGTGAAAATATTCCTGTGAAATGAACAATGGTGGTGGGTACGTTTACTTATGAAAAAAGTGCCGACGGCACGCCTTTGAATTCATCATGCATGTTTTTTTTTCTCCCAAACTGGCCATTACCTCCTTTGTCTAAGTTTCCCTCAGAGGAAACCCTGTGTATGCATGCAATGATGTAATATTGCTTACCTGTAGAATGTCGACAAACAGGAGTGGGTGTTCAGCGACATCTCTCACATCAACATATGATGAAGAAACGCGACTCTCACCCACTACGCCGTTCTGCGGCGCATGCTCTCTGACGGCCACGTTGCTACGGACTGTTGTAGGGGGTGCTGGTTTGGTATCATTGCCATAGATATCAGGAAAGATCGGTTCGGGACTAGAAGGCAGGTCGCAAATCATGCCATCATCATCCACAATCGGCGGCGAAGGAGGTGGTTCTGGTATTAGGTTATCCTCTATTTCCTGCAATTGTAATTGAATCTCAGCTCTTACAAAATGCAGGGTAAATGACCTACGTGCAATTGTTATAGCTGAGTCTTGTTACAATAATTATGTGCAGCATTAGTATACAATCAACCATCACTACATGCAACTCCTAGCTTATTTGCCCCACACATGCTATTGCGCATAATTAATTAACATTACTAATACTTGTAATTACACGCTACTACCGAAAATTACAGCCATTACAGCTGGGATGGGAAAAACGAAGCATCGTAATACGTAAATATAAAGGCGTGTCTACGTACATTGACGTCACTGGCAAAGAACTGATCACCATCTGCTCCCTGTGAGTGACGACCCAGCCAGGCTGCACTACTGCCATCTCCATGGCAACCGGCATCCTCGTCCGTATCATCATCATCACTCTTCAAAATACGAGTGATACGTCGACGCCTGCTACTGCGATTCAATATCTCCTCTTCCTCCTCCTCCTCCTCCTCCTCCTTTTCCATGCATGCATTGCTAGTTCGACCTTTTCCGACATCAGTACAATGACGGGAATCTTCCTCAGTGAGATCGACTAGTGACGAAGTGGAACGTTGGTGACTTGGTAGCTTCGCAGTTATTGGGCTGGACACGTTTTTCACGAGCGATTTTGCCGTGCTGTGCTTGGCTGCACTGGTGGAGCTATTCACATTTAAACCTGCCATGTCGACCCCAATGAATGAAATAATTAATAATTGAATAATTTTATAATAATTAAATGGAATATGTATGCAATACCGATAACCCCCTAAAACTCATTCCAGGTAAGCCATATGTATACTGTAACTGTTCAATCATCGCTAGAAGTACATGCACTGAACATGTATTAACATAACATCCTGACACTGTGAGAACAGCATGTTGTAAGGACACGCACGTGATGCTCAATAAAACTTACTGTTGTCACAGTCAAAGTCACTGAGATCATCATCACCGAAGAGGTCGTCTATAACACTATCAGATAGCTGGTTTCCTACCTGCATTCCTGACTTGGCAAACCTAAGCAAAGGGCAATGGTACAAGCTTGTATACAGGCTTTCATTTTTAAGGGGCGCGATCGCGCTCGCGCTCCACCGCGCACCCGAAATTGTGCCATGGTTCGCGCATCATCGCGCCTCATAAAAGTGGTTGAAATCGCGCACCAAAATTATGTCTATTATGTTGAAATAGCGCTCCATGGAGTTCTCAATGTAGGGGGGTACAAAAAGGTTAGCAACACACAACAATTTGTGGTGTGTAAGTAACTGAACGTATGGCACAGGTACAGGTCTGGTTACTACCCTCTGGTTTATATATATATATATATATATAAATACAACTAAACAACAGCATCCAAATACAGGTACCTATACGGTAGCCACAAGTTACCTGCTCGTTTTCTACTATACGTGGCGAGAAGTGGTTTTCTGCCGACGTGAAACAGTCGTAGGGCTGGAGGGGCTACATACGTGGCTACTACGTACAAGTAATTTGGCTAGTTTGTTGATGGATTGTGATGATATTTTGTGCTGAAATATGCAGGTACATGGATTAGAATCTCTAAGGATGGAAATCAGAATAAATAAAACAAGTTTATTTTTACATCCGATCAACTCTTTTATTAATCTGTGTGCTAGTGTTGGGTTGTTGGATGAAAAGAATGTAATCCTGACGAAGCCATTGAATGAATGAAGGTGAAGATGAATGATAATCAGTAGATTTACATGACATCCCAATTTTCGTTTTGGATTTCACTCTAGACTGAGGATTGGTCATGATTCCATCATCACACCCCAAAAATCACACCTTTAAAAGGGATGATGGAGAGCTCCTTGAGGGCTCTCCATCATCCCTTTTAAAGGTGTGATTTTTCGTGGAGCTCTCCATCATGCCTCTTAAGGGTGTGATTATGGAGCGTGAAAAGACCCCCTATGGTGTCCTAGGGGAGTCATTAGTAGTCCTCCTGTACTTTTCAAATCTGAAAGCCTGTTGTATATATATATGAAAGATTACATTGCGAGTTGTAACATTTCACTCTTTACTGCAACATTTTCAGGAATGAAAATACGGAAATGGTGCTTCCATATAGTATTAACAATTAATTATTGAGGTTTGCCACCTCATATCTTGATATATATTGCATCCAGCACTTTGTGCATTTAGCAACATGAAATTTAGATATTGCCTACCTGTGTTTTTGAGGATGTTGAGGCTGTAGCACATGGGGTCGCACTCTGGCTAGCGGCACCTGTTTAAGAGCGCTAGCTCGCATCGGTTCACCACTTCCTTGCACAATGGCCGACTCCTGCACATCCCTCGATGGGCCTGCGAAGAAGGCAGTCAGCTTACTCTGTCCTGCTTTTGTCGATGTCTTTTGTGACATGGATAGCTTAGGCAGCATTCGGTGAGCACTGGTTTGCAGAGTGTTGGTTTCATTGCCAAGTGCCTTTCTGATGTGTACTGACTGCGAATTGACATTCCCCGCTTGCACTTTGTTGAGAAAAGGCAGGTTTGCCTTTGGTCTAAACATGTCTTCCTGTCCGTGCCTGTTGCTGGTGCGTATCAGAGGCCATTTCCTGACACTCGGTGAAAATGCATTGTTTGTTGGTTTCGAAGCAGACGTTTGTGAAACTGCTGAGAACAAATGAGATAGATCTGGTACAGACTGGCCTGACCCCTCATCTTGCTGGGAGAACGCAACTGTGCTTGCTGATGCAGGTGAGGTAGAGAGTCTGCCATTTTGGAACCCTGCTGACACAGTACTTGACTGATGTCGACTCAACAAAGCTGTTTTCTTGAAGGTGAAATTTCTGGAATACACAGCCATATATATCGATTTTAGATCAGGTATTCAAATTATAGTACCACCACTAAATAAACATTATACTATATGAATGACACCCATACTACATGGTAATGCAATCAATTCGTGACATAACTCAACTGAGGGAAAAATGTGAAATAATAAAATGTGTTGTAAATTTATGCAGTATTAAATATCATTAATAGTATGAATACATCAGGGTTCTCCTCAGGCCTATAATGTATGTTGACTCCAACATGCCTTCAATGCTGAAGCTACTTTGTGACATCCCATAAATCCTCCGACATGCCCTAATTACCAAATCAACATGCCTTAATTTCCAACTGTATACTTTTGTTAGCTCTATTTTTTTCTGTGAGTTTGTGCACTGGCGTGTGAATGGTGACATTGTGTGCTGCCGAGGGGCATTTAAACGACATTCATGTGGAATTATTAGGTTATAGGGAGTGCACAAACACAGACAGTAGTGAATAATTACAATTTGTGTTTAACTTTATTCACCATCATTTTATAATTGAGACGGCCCAAGTCAGTTGCTTGTGAACACAATTATTCTGTGTTTCACATCTTGAGTTATAATTGTACATATCCCAATTTATCGAATTTATTCGTAACACAAGTTGTGTATCGTGGCCTCTTACGACATGCATAATCGACTTCAATTAGAAATCGGGGTATAAATTGCCTGATTGCTAGACATGCCTTCTGAAATTTCCTGGGCAGAACTATAGTATTGTCTACATGCACTATCGCTAATACCGTATTAATATTATATAGTAATATACACTTATAATATTAGTTTATTACCTGGTTGGAAGTGTTACTGATACATTTGTTTGCTTAGCGTTTCTGGCGGTTGCACCTGATGTCAGTGTTGAACTGCTGAATCTAGCCAAGTGCTCTTCCAAGTTATTTTGCGGAAGAGCCATTTTCCGACTGACGGAACGCTCACGGGTCAGTGACACAGACTGTCAGTGACAGTCGCAGTCTACGTAGACCTACAATAATTAGAATAGACGTGCAAAGTCAAACTCAAAGTGCGACACTGATAATATTACGCAGTGGATATTTAACCGCATACGGCAGAGTATCCACTTCCGCTATTTTACCGTACAGTACTTCCGATTGGCTAGTATATTTATCAGGGCACAAAATTCATATTTTTTGGCACCGGCCCAGAGGGCTGGTAACAGCAATTTTTTACCAGCCCTCACAAATTTTGTTTGAAAATCAATGCCATGTTTCACGCTTGCATTCTCGATTTAAAATTTGTAAAATGTCGAAAAATAATGGCGTGATATCCTTCAGGTAAAACAGTATAGGCTATTTGCTCATTAATGCTATAAACAAAAATGTAGGCACTCGCTAACACGGCTGAAACCACCGGCTCAGAGGGCCGGTGTTTTGCCAATGTTACCGGCCCTCCATATAATTTGCCGACATATATGCCGGTGGGCCGGTGCTAATTTCACGCCCTGTTTATGTACGTTAGTATATTATGAATGTGTTCAAAAGGTTTCGTATTGGAAACGTGATTAACGGAAAATAGCTTCTATGATCAAACGGGGCTACAAAGGTGTAGAAATAAATAGGATTTTAACCCAAAGAGTAAAGGTTCTCTAGATAGCGAAACCTTATGGGATTCGAACGTAATGTTGATGACGGCATAAATACACTAGCCAATCAAATGTGGTGTATGGTAAAATAGCAGAAGTGATACTCTGCCATATACGGTTAAATATCTACTGACATTATACTAATAATAATATTATACTATTAGTATTACTTACAGACGTAGTCAATAATCTAGTTACATTTATATAAGACTAGTCATTTGGTAAAAAGCAAATCACGTGTTCATTTTAATAAGAACCGAGACATTATATCAATAAATGAATAATTATCAGTGACCCGCCAACCAGACTAATCCAGACTTGAATTTGAAAGCTGAACTTGAAGCACTGACAGTGACGCTGATAGGGTCTATGTCCCCCAGGGTACTATCGGAGGGTACCCTGGGTACGGTTCGATATATCGAAAGTACCTCGGGGTACTATACGATATGTCGCTGCGTACTCTGCATTGTCCCACCGTACCCTGACTTTCAGCCAACTGATGTCGTAATACCACGCGACCTTTTCTAACATCTCCGCCAAGCAGAACGCGTCCATTAAATTTAAATAATCAGCTAGATCTGCCTGGAGCACTGTTCTTCTTGCCATCTTTGTTGTGTACTTCCCACCGACTGTCAAATACGCGCATGCGCTGCGGACGTATTTCCGATGTTGTAAAACTAAAATATAAGTTAGCTCTTCGTTTAAAAAAAGGCTGTGGCTACGGGTATGGTAGCCATATCTTAATGTCTCGAGGCTACGGGCACGGGAGTCCATTCGCTTTCATACTTAACAAGACAAAGATGGCGGCGGTGGCGCCAGATTTCGAAATAACGCCTTGGGAAATAAATTCACGATTTGAGTTTAGATGAGCTAGAACCCTAACCCTAACCCTAACCCTAACACTAACCCTAACCCTAACCCTAACCCTAACCCTAACCCTAACACTAACCCTAACGCAGTAACGGCAAAAAAGGGCTTCAATGAACGACGGCTACGGTACCGTACCGGTACCTCCAGCGATCTGCGTTGAAAAAAAGGAAAAAGAAAAATATTGTCAAACATAGCATACATTTTTATTGGATTGCGATGTTTTGAGGTTTCTTCTATGTGATCACTGTGATGTGGTAACTTGACAAAGTGTATGTACTAATACTACTATTACGACATCAGTTGGCTGAAAGTCAGGGTACGGTGGTACAAGTACAAACGTCAATGCACTGCAGCCAGGGTACGCAGCGACATATCGTTTTCCGATATATCGAACCGTACGGCGTACCCAGGCCAGGGTACCCTCCGATAGTACCCTGGCCCTGGGGGACATACTCACATAGACTATGACTATGAGTATGAGTATGATTATCATGCACCTATCACTGAGTATCAGTACACGACACTGTGTATCAGCGACAGTGACACTGACTGTAGTCTGAGACTGTACCACGAAGCACATACCACTATTACCAGCACCACCAAGCAACTGTCTTAACTAAATGATATTATAACGTGTAATCTTTCATTAATTATTCTTCAAATAGTTTACTTAAGATCGTTTCTTCCTTTTTAAGTTTTGATCACACACTTTTACTTTTTTCATAAATGGCGCCATCGATAGATGCTCATTTCTTATTGTTTTGAATGCTCCCTTGGTTCGGTCCTTACTCCGCCATTGGAGACTGCGACACGAAGTAATAGATAATATCTGATTTTTATCCATATATTGTAACCTCATCCCTTAGTGTATAGTACTTAATTGCATGTTATTTAATATATAGTTACATGTCCTTGATGTAGGATAATGTTTACTGATAGCTGTTGCCAATTAGTTGCGTACATATAAATTTTGTGATAATGTAACCACAAGTCGGATGTTTTGTATACTAACGAGTAACGTTATTGTATGTCGCCGTAGTTTAGGCTACCTTGGCTACAAGCACTTGGAAATGATGTGATTGTCCGTGTTTCACCTGAAATTTTAAGGATTACAACACTTAGATATCTGATCCAGGTCAAAAACCGCTTGTTCCTTTAGCAAGAATAATTTTGTCTGTAGGTACGCTCTAAGTCTAATGTCATGACGTAATGTAGTACTACTACTAGTAGTAGTAGGCTAGATACAATAATGTAACCCAAACCCAGGAGGATAGGGTTACAAAGTGTCCCTATCCTTTTGTGTGGAGGAACGCCCGAGTGAATCACTCAGGCCGGTCTGCTGGTGCGTTTTCAGAGACTAGAACTTCCAAACTGGGTTTATTCTAAACACGAACCTTTCTCCGCTATCCGGGAACTTACTATGTATCGCAATACTCTGTATTAAACTAATATAACCTGTTACAAAAATTCGAAGTGACGAGCAGCGAATATACTGAGCGCCATTTCTGTTGACCTGTGACGTACGAATTCCCAATGCGCATAGCGATCGGCAAACGCAGCGCTCTCCGATTGGTCGGTGATTCACTCGGGCATTCCTCCACACAAAAGGATAGGGACACTTTGTAACCCTATCCTCCTGGATTTGGGTTACATTATTGTATCTAGTAGAAGGCCTACTTTCCTTTTTGTATGTAGAGGGCCGTGACATGTATTATTGTATAGTTTCGCCCCATTCATACTAATTTCTGTTTGATTTTAGAAATGGTGAATCGCTACGAAATGGCCGTAGGCCTTCAAAAAGGCCACAAAACGACAAAAAATGTGACCAAACCTCGGCCTGCCCGACGAAATGGGGTAAGTCTGTTTTGTTACAAAGTATCATTATCATTCCTTCGTACTCACTACTAATACTATCCATCGTCATCTTATACTGTCTAGAAGTGATGTTACCAAATATCCGTGTTTCAGCTGAAATTACAGGATTACAAACATTAATCTCTGATCTAGGCAGTAAACAAATTTTGCAGTTGATAATGTGGAACATGGTACCTACCACCTTTTATGTTGACATGTCCCATTTCCTGTATTGCTATTTTATGTATCAATATGTAATGTGCGCAAAGGGAAATGCAGAAAATACTGCTTGAAACTTGGCAATAGATAATTGCCAATAGCCAGAGATCCAAGTACAAGTATACTTGTGAGTATACCTGTGCTAATTTTGTCATTGCAGAAGCTTTCCAAGCACACTAAATTCATTAGGGACATTGTTCGGGAAGTGGCTGGATTTGCGCCATACGAGAGAAAAGCCATGGAGTTGCTGAAGGTCTCAAAAGACAAGCGAGCATTGAAGTTCTTGAAGAAACGAGTAAGAACCTGTCTGATTCAAGTTGTTAGGTTATAATAGCAAATCACACTAATAACATGCAATCTGTATGAATTTTCATGAAAATTTGTATAGCAATTTTGTGTTGGTTAAACTTGCAATGAATTTGATGGTAGCAAGTATTTCTAGCTCATCTGACATAGTCAGATGCAGCTTGTAGAATCGCATGAGCGTCCGTCCGTCAACAGTTGGGCGCAAATATAAACGGCTCGACGTACGGATTCGAAAGTCGGGACGTAGGGTGGTAATCCGAAAACGAGTTGGAATGTTGAAGCTGAGGTCAAAGGTCAAGAGGTGTAAAAGAAGGGGGTACATTCCCTCCTTAACTTAAGGTATAGGGAGGAAATGCAGAATTGCAGCACAAATATAAACGGCTCGTGATAGTCGGTGTATAGCATCATGGTAGAAAAAGCCATCACTGTGCCGAAATTGGAGGTCACAGGTCAAAGGGCAGTGGGGAAAGGTCAGATATCAGACATTTTCTGAGGACATGGGCTAATGGACAGAGTGAAAAACTTTTGTTTCAGCGCTGACCTACCATTTTTATCACTTTATTGAAAGGACCATGAAATGTGCTTTCCACTGACATGCGAAGAGTAAGTGTCTGATAACCTTTTGACCCTCAAGAGGAGGGTTAAACATGGATTCCTGAACTGCCTCAATGATGTCACAGTCATGGCACATCCATAATCGGGAAACCCAACATGCCTCGATAGCCTAACGTCTACAGCACAGGATTAGGGCTCAAAGGTCCTTGGATCGAATCCCATCAGATTTTTTATTTACGTGTTTTCTGTATTTTTCTATCTTTATCCATTTAACTATTTCTTTCCAATTAAGGAAAATATTTACATGATTTATTTACAACAATTTCATAACAACAAATAATTTTTACAACAATTAAATTATTATTATTTTTAATAGGGTTAGGGTTAGGGTCACAATGCACCATAAAACAGGAGTTTCAGGCACGCGATTTGTATCAACCAATGGGATTTGGGAGGTATGCTGAATGCAGAAGGTTGCTGAAATGATGTGTACACAACTGCGTATCTGCATATCTGCGCCTAACAAAGGTCTCACTACGCATGACTTAAATGTTACGTTTATCATTCTAGCAACAGACCTCAGATGAGCCCAGACGCTCTGCGGCTCTAGTTGTGTAAAGCAACATTATAGCAGCTGTTTTACTCTGTATCGAAGATCATATATGATCATGTGTATTACTGTTAGTGGCGCAACAAATAACTGCAATACAGTGTCCACGATATAATTCACAATTCACCTTCAAATCAGTGTCGATGCATTTGTCAGGTTGTCAATATCTAAGGTGGGTGCACCATACATGTTTTGGTGTCATAAAAGAAGCATGCTGATTTGCATATGTGTTCTGTTTCTATATCTGCGATATAGAAGACGTTCCCAAAGGTCACGTGCGTAACGTGCACAGTAGCTGTATTCAGCTAGATGGTTGTTATGGCTGTGTTTGAGCTACTGGGATCAAGCATTATGTATTGCAACAGTTTTCCTACTGGGTTGTGTAACATTGTGATAGATGTCATTGGTTATGTTATTGGTTATTGTTTATTACCCAATTATTGGTGATACTGTCACTGGGATGTGATTCAAATTTGATACACAGGTTTTGGCAACCTTGGCTACAAGCACCTGGAAATGATGTGATTGTCCGTGTTTCACCTGAAATTTTAAGGATTACAACACTTAGATATCTGATCCAGGTCAAAAACCAATTGTGCCTTTAGTAAGTATAAGTTTGTCTGTAGTAGGCTCTAATGTAGTCGTGTCTCTTTTCAGGTTGGCACTCATTTGAGAGGCAAGAGAAAGAGGGAAGAAATGAGCAGTGTCATCATTCAAATGAGAAAGGCGCAATCACAGAAATCTTAAAATAAAGTGTAGAGTTAATGGAAAGTAGCTTTTTGTATGTGTTTCATTTACTTGCAATGCTTATTTTGTGTGGTAACGCCAATTACAAATAAAATATACGGTATCACTGCTGGTAAACGAATATTCATGGTAAACTGGCAAAACATTTAATTGTAAAAAAAATCTACATTTGAAATGCAAAGTACTATATCTATAAGTCGCTAAAGGTAGTATCTCACTGGGCTGCGACTGTTGGCGACAAATTGCGAACGGCATTAGCGAGGGAGATTCCAAAATGTCTCTAAACGTTCGCAGGGGTTATCAATTTCCTCGCTCTCGTGTCGCTGGAATTTTGAACATGGTCAAAAAATTTGCGCGACAAATTTTCTCTCAAAATGGTTACAGTCTTTGCGGGTGTCTCGAACCCTTCTCAATTTAGTTTCCGTGAGTCAGAAGGTGTGAGAAATATGAGAACTTTGTGAGGGGTTGGCGACCTATGAAACTAAATTGTGGGTCCTCGTACAGTAGCTTCTGCACTTCTCTGAGGTCCATCTCACTTGACGTCCGAGTACAAAATGATTGCTGGACTGGGGAGGGTCCCCGTATTTATATAGTCCAGATTTCTCAATTGTCACGCATAACTGTCGCGCGACAGTCGCAAGTGCAAAAAATTCGGAATTTTGTTGCGTGAGTGTCGCGCGACATGTAAGCGAACTCCCAGCAAATTTTGGCCCAAAATTTCGCCCCCGAACGTGTCGTAAGTACCAATTCGGTGTGATTCCAAGTGAAAATTGTCGCTTTTTTCTCTCGCAATTTTGTGTCTCCAACTAGTCGCGAGCTGTCGCAGCCCAGTGAGATACTAGCTTAACACAGAGTATGTAAGCTGACCACAGTTGAAAAGTTCTGAAGAACATCACACAGATTATGGTGGACCTGCAAGTATGTGAGAAATATTGTCGGGTATTATTAGGGAATGTGGAAATTTAAAATGAGGTGTTCTAGACAAGTCCTGGAAATGGACTTATTATGTATGGTCCTAGAAAGTTGCAAATTGATCTCGTCCAACCTGTTCAATTTTACATATAAATATATACATACATAATATACATATATAGTTATATATAGTTGTACATGGCATAATATACTAAAGATATAAGCTGCTTACTGTCTCAGAGGCAATGAAATTTGTGTGAGGCAAGGTTTTGTTGACTAGAAAATACGAGATGCAATCGGGCTGGGAATCGAGGAGAATGATCATGGGAAAATGTTATGCTTAAATGTGTACGATCAATAGGTGTGTATAGAAACTGCAATGCTGTCAAGAGATATTTTAATAATGCACACCAGTATCCATATTTTATGCAATCATTTATTGTTCCGAAAATGCACATCGATATACCAGTGCCAAATTGACATGTCACGTGTGGTGGGTGACCTCAGTGGGAGCTTAAATTGCAAAAAAGTCATTGCAGCTCTTCATAAACGAACATAGACCGGGTTTTTCAGATGTTCATAAATAAAAAGATAAGCAGGTGCGTAACAGCATTAGAACATCGTGCTTCAGTGTGCTGTTTCCAGACATAAACATTCTTGCAAATTACATAATGAACGTTCCTTCAGACAATAGTTGCTAGCAAAATTGAAGCTTAGACACGGTTATTCTTGCATTGCCTCTTGAGTTGGTTGTGCCTCTGGCTGGTCATCTTTCTTCTTTTTCTGTCCTGACACAATATCGTCTATGCGCAGCAGCAAAATTGCAGTCTGTAACAAACAAGTAAAACCAATGAGGAAACATTTCATTCTCCAATTTTCATTTGTGAATTTTACCCAACTGATGGCGCCACCTGGCATAACTTAACACGTTCAACGCTGCCGGTGTTACCAATGTAACTACCAGCCCGAGTTGGGATTTTCGCGTTTTTACCGCGTATTCACTTATTGATTTATCACATTTACTTTGCAGGAAATCTAACCAAACTGACACGTTTACTCTGCATGAATGTTAATCTCACCCTTACACGTTCAAATAGTATGAAAATCATTCCCCTTCATAATAATATATTGATATGAAAACAGGGGAAAAACGGACATTTCGTGCATTTTCGTCTCAAATGCCACCGCACCAGTGGATTTTCGCTATAATGAAATATAAAATTTCGTTTGTTATGATATCAGTCAACAGTATACTATTTTTCCTGGTAAGAAATGTGACAATGCTTACACATATGTGAGGTATGAACCTTGTTTTGTGTTTCTACATGCAAACGTTCCTCGAAATTTTATATACTACACCATTATTATATTATATACCGTTAGGAAAACAGTAAACAAACCTTGATTCGATCTACGCCTTCTAGACCTACTGCAGTCTACCTTGAGTCTCAAAACTCCTAATTTCACATTCGAATCAACGGTAAAGCATTGTATTCTTTAGTTCATGTAAGACTGGGGTAATATAGACTCCCTGTTTAATTTCTAGGTAGGTAGTGCCTGCCATCTGTTGGAAATCAGAGTAACAAAAACCAATAATCTATCCATGAACTGACTCGTGGATCCGCGGGGCAGTGTTTTGATTGTTCCCACGAGCTGACTCGTGGATCTGCGGGGAACGTGTTAAACTAGCATGTAAATATCATCGTGTGGCTTCCATAACAGTCCAGATATGTACCTCCATTGCTGTCTTGTACGTCTGGGCTTTGACAGAAACTGGTTCCCATATACCATAGTCCTTCATATCCACGATTGTACCATCATCGCCATTGATACCGTAAGTCGAGTTCTCTCCACCTGCATGCTTTGCCTGACATAAGGTAAGAAAATAGTCACGTCATTGGCGGACAGAATTGTCCATCATAAAACAATGCATGTAAACGCAAATGCGTGTCCCGTGAGCATTTAACGGTGATACGATCAGATCAGTTATCCGAACAAAATACTCCCCGCCCGTCTCGTTCGGATAATCGAGGTTCAACTGTACTGAGTTTAAACACAGTGCAGCCTACCCGTAGCGCAGTAAGAATTCTGATAGTGCTGCCACCACAGTTTTGGATAAGTGTCCTAGGAATGACCTCCAGAGCACGAGAGACTGCACGGTATGGCCACTGGTGCACTCCGGTGATGCTTTTGGCCTTTTCATTCAGTGCCTGAAAATCACGTAATAAAAAATGAACATAACACCTCTACCTGACAGCAGAAGGCTTCATAACACAGACAATCAAGGATTCAGTGGACAGGGCCAAATTGGTATAGAAATGATCGGTATAGTAAAATATTGTACAATAATAGATGCTTTCAACTTACTAACAATAAATATAAACATGCACTACCTACAAATTTGCAGTAGCACAACATTCTCTCCAAAGATGTGATTTTATATTCGATGCTACCAAATAACATACGTGTGCAAGAGCCATTTCGACAGAGCCCCCTCCTGGTACAAGTTTTGGCTCCACCATGACATTTCGTGCCACGTGTAGCGCATCCTGGAGATTACGCTCCACCTCATTAAGAATGTCCTTACTGGCTCCACGCAGCAAGATGGTGCATGCTTTTGGGTCTTTACATTTCGTGATGAAGGTGAAATATCTGTCATTAGATGAAGTGAAGTATTATAATATCACTACAACTACCATTATCTCTGTCATATTCGAATTGTAATGACAGATTATGATGGCATGTTGAATTCCTATTATTAGTCGAATTTGAATAACGACAAATTTATTGATATTACTACCAGTGTGACAGTATTATAAAACGTAGATCACATAAAGATAGAATTCATGCTTCATACTTACTCATCACCAATCTTCTCAATCTCGAAAAGACCAGCGCCGGTACCAATGTCTTCCTCTCTGATTTCCTCAGTTCTGCTGACAATGGAGGCACCGCAGGCACGAGCTACACGATTGTTGTCAGACTTACGCAGCCTTCGCAGGGCTGTGATGCCTGCCTTCACCAGGAAGTGCTGTGCCAGATCTATAGTTTACATATTGAGCACATCATCACTAATCCATTGGTCACCTTACATCGTGTTCACCACAAAAAATAACATACAGCGGATGACTACCACACATTAAAATATAAATCATTTACACAATGTTGAAAACTAGCAATTGCTAATACTTATTTCTTACATTTTTAACTCAGTGATAACCTTTCTTGATGTTATGATGCACTATCCTTTATATGACACTAACCTGATACACCTTTTTCCGTAATGACAAGGTCAGGCTTGAAGGCAATGATGTCGTTGCAAACTTTCTCAATGTACTCTTCCTCCATCTGCAGAATACGTGTGAAGTCCTCTTCTTTCACAATTTCTATGGCTGTCTGGAAATGACAAGACACACAGTCAGTGATGTGCTTGAACACACCTACATTTGCAATATATAAATAATAATTTATGCATGTATTGCTACTGCAATTTAGTTAAAAATTACATAGTTGGTAAAAAAAACATGGAGAATGCAGATAATGTAAAACTTCTGGCAGCATTTACAGAAATAGGAATCCCATATAATAGCGTAAAACACAAACCTAGAAACAGAAGTGCATCTAAATCAATAATTCCATTAAAACTTTACTCTGGACTATACAAGACACATAAAATACCACCAGAGAAATTGATTGTCATCATAGCAATCATATTAAGAAATGATGATTAGAAAGAGTGTACCTGACTTTCTCCTTTCTTGTACTCCAGATTGCAGTCAAGCAGCAGGATTCTGGGGTTCTCAATACGTCTGCGCATCTTTGGATGGGTAACATCCTTGTTGAACATGACACCATCTAGTACCCTCGAATCCTCCATAGTGCCTCCAGGAACCTTCACAACATGCACACGTCACTCAAACGCACAACAGGTAGCATGGCCGCACGCTGTGATGCCAATCACCAATATGACTCAACAGATGACACTACATCACTATAGCAGGTTAGAGAAATTTCCACACAAAACAATTGTGCTGAGAATTAGAGATGAGATAAAAGTGAAAAAAATCAATTTAAAACTTTTCAGAGATTGCACCACTTACCTTCTCCACTTTTGCATATCGCTTGATATCAACTTCTAGTTTCCCACCCTCTTCAAGTGCAACCTTTTTTACTGCTTCATAAGCAATATTGCATGCCAAATCTGACCTGAAATGACACAACCACCATGAAGCTATTTCCCCACATTGCATCTCAATAACAAAATGGCACTGGATATATGTGCACATGAAGATGAAAACAAGTGAACCAAAACAACACTCAAAACTGAAAATGTCTTTACGCAAATTAACAGGCCAAATGTAAACTGCTAGTGCCAAAAACTGGACACCAGAATATATATTTACCTACCATTTAGCAAGAAATTTTGTGCCAATGCAGCTCTGAATAATCTTCATCATTTCTGCGCGATTATTCACGTCAACGTCAACGCTGAAACAAAAGAAGAAAACTGCTGAGTCAGTGTAACTTTTACGATTAATCTTACTGTGCTAGTAAATGCTTTGCTATACTCAACCTGATAGCACCCAACATGAAGACTAGTGTTGTCAATCGGTTGTAATTTCGTAATCGATCATCAGTTGGACCCAAGTAACCGATGATCGGTTACAATCAGTTACTCGGGGTGTTGAATGCCTGCGTGTGCATGTACGTGTGTGCGTGTATGTGCTTGTTTAGCCGTGTTTACTGTTTGTTTTGCACTGTTTACTACTGTGTGTATAATACATGTACGTTAATAAAGGATAACTTGTATAGTAGCGATGATATCTCTGATTCTCATCAACTTTTCGAAGAAAAAAAAATTCGATTTTTTTTTAAATGAAATCGATTATAGATTTTGAAAACCAAGCGCTTGGTTCGAGCCACTGTTCAACCGATGATCGTGACATCACTAATGAAGACTACCCAGTATTTTAGTAATTGTTTAAATATGGTTTGTTTACATTAAATCATATAGTATAGCATTTAATCATAAGTCTGTAATTAATCATATAATCAATTAACGATTAACCAATGAATTCATTGACTGACTGACTGACTGATTGGGCTGATTACCTGATGTTGTCCCTGAGCACAACAAGCATGTCCTCAAGAGCTAGCCTGTAAGCCTGAATGATCACTGTCGGATGCATCTGCTGATCAAGGAACTGCTCTGCTGCAGACAGCATTTCTCCCGCTGCACATGAACATTGTCTTATTATTACAATTAGTGGCAGTAAGTATATTACTGGTGGTGGTGATGGGTAGACACTGGCCAAACACCACAAGAAACAGATACCTCTGGGAGAGCACACAGGAGCTTTTTAGGTCTTATGCTTCCCCAGAAGCTCAAGGGCCAAAGACAAGTTACCAGTATATGAATATACATGCTAATTGCAATACCTTGTGCGTTTGACTTAAAAACAATTAAACAGAATTCTAGAATTCCATGAAATTTACTCAATTATTAAAGTTCTGACAAAATGAAAGAATAAATAATATACCCGTCCTGTCAGCATATATAAATATCTCTGCCCCCATCAACTGCTATACACAATTGAAAGGAAAGTACACACTAACAGCATGCAACTTTCTTTTAAACTTTAGAATTAACACTCACCAAGTATGATGACAGATGTTGTGCCATCTCCCACTTCTTCATCCTGGGTTCTGCTAATCTCTATCATAGTCTTCGCAGCTGGATGCTGAACTTGTATCTAAATTTTACAAGCAATTTATATTATGAAATTATCGAGTTAACATGTAAAGGCTGTAACACATAATCAGAACTAAACTGACATTTGAATGGATAGTATAACCTTAACTATATAGCCACCTGGGTTATCTGATAACTTACAATTCAACTGCCTCTAATACGCACAAATAATCTAGTTTCGATTGTAATATACTTGTAATAGTGTTCGGAAGTTAAGACACATGGGACTGTTTATTCATCAGTAACCATAATCTGAGCATATTTCCACTCATTGTCACTTACCTCACGTAAGATAGCATTTCCATCATTCGTCATTACAATGCCACCCATAGGGTCCATGAGCATCTTTAACATTGCTCGTGGCCCAAGACATGTTCGGATTACATCAGCTACTGCCTAAATAACACACATCATCAAATAAGAACTGAGGATTGAAGAAACAGAACGTGCAGTTGTGCTCATTTACAAATTTTGGGAAAAATCTTTTTCTTATTTGTTTGTTAGGATAATCTAATGGTTTTTCCTTACAACTAATTAGTGGATGGGTAGTTGATGAGAATAAAGTGTGCAATAACTTATCAATAATCCTAAAACAGGTTTCTACCCACATTACCCGAACAGGATTGTGCGCCCCACTTGATTTTTGTGTCCTATTTTTGACCGCTTACATGACGATAATACTGTACTATGCAATCCCACACATTGCCATTGAGAGCTGTTTGATGTTCACTGTTATTTCTAACTTTAGATACTACTCGACCTTGTTTTAATCAATTTCAATGTATATATTCAGAGCAAACGAGGACGTGGACACCCACTATATTATATAACTTACACCGCTGGTAGGCTGACAATGGGACTTTCATAGCAAGACAACCATTTGAATAATATTAAAGATTATTATATACAATATAAATATATACTATAACAGTGATGAAAATTAACACTCGCCCAGTCGCCCGAGGCGAGTAGAAATAATGTTGGACCCCAGAATTTCATTGAAAAGTCACACAGAATGCGTTGCTTTGTTTTTATAGTTAAACATTCAATAATCAGTGGAATCACTACGATTTCAGTGCTATGATTACGCCACTACAATTCGCTCACGATTTCCTAGAATTTTGATACATTTTTTGACCACCAGAATGAAAACTAATTCACTCTATCCTCCTAGGACTAGGAGTAAGAGTATCGAGTAGGAACACGTTGATACACGTTCACGGGGGCGGGCATTTTTCATGTTGATTCCCTGGTGAAACGTAAACCGGGCTCTCATTGGTTCAGGGCTGGGAACTCAGCCAGTGAGAGCATGTGTTGTATATGGTGTTGTATCTGACCAGAGCATCAATGCCACCAATGCAATAAATTTATATGCTCTGATCTGACATTGCCACTGATCATTGGGAAGGAACGTGGGTTGTAACATGGTTGTAATTAGATACAATAATGTAACCCAACAAGAGTAGCACCCTACTCTTGTTGGGTTACATTATTGTATCTAGGTTGTAATACAATCCAATGCAATCTAATAAAAATTGTGATCAATACTAAATAAAATATATTGAATTTTTTTAAAAATATTGAATAAAATGCCATCAATTTGCTGTCCCCGCTAATCACAGAATTTGATCCAGTCCCAGCAATAAATTTATGGAACGAGCAGGGTGTCAGGTATAGGTCAAAGAAGCCGACTTTTAAAAATAAAGATACAATGCTAGAAAATGCATTGAAAATTGTTGAGAATAATGGCGCTGCTGATAGAACAGGGGCTCAAACAGACACGATGATGACGGCTGATGATGATAAAACAGGAAGTGACAATGGGGACTGGATGGACTCTGACAATGACATGGAAACTGTTTTCAAACAATTGATTGAGTAACTACTCTAATTAATGGCGTAATAAAAACAAATGTGGAAATTGTTGAAGTACTTTTACTTCTTGTCACTAAGGTATAGTACGGAGTCCCCTAAATAAATATTTGTATTGGCCACTCGTCGTGCACGTTTCATCCTGTTTCACTGTTTGAATTTTTCATGAAGATTGAGAATGGCCATGATTCATGAAGTTTATTAACTCAGTCACATTGCTTCAGCAAGTGAATATATAGACATAGATTACGCGTGACTAGTTGTACTGATAATCATAATGGTAACAATCTGCACCTGTCGAACACATTATTCATAACATGCTAACAGAATTTTAATTCTCGTTTTCGCGTGGTTTCTAGAATGTTTGGAAGCCAAAGCGCGGCCATTTTGAAAGCATGACTCACCTTCGTAGCATGAATGTTCCCCTGCTGCACCTTTTTCCCATGCTCACGCTTCACGTTCTGATCTATTAAGAAAGTATGTAAATTGGTAACACTGCAACAATATCCCGACATGATACATGAATTACTTTGTCAAAAAACATGAATATCATACTTACTCAGCACGACAATCGGAGCATGCATTTTCGTAAACTTTTCGGCACAACGGAGCTGCACTACCGCCACCTGAGATCAATCTTTTTTTCAAATTACAAATTTTATTCTAAACTTTCCTAACGCGTAAGTAAATCTAGTATTTACACTAAATATTAGTACTAAAACTATCTCCGCGTAGTTAAAAGTCATTTTTATTAGATACATATGATATTGACTTCACTTCGTCATTTCATAACGATGCATTATAATAACATCACCATCGTCTGCTCTGCTCATTCCGGCGATATACGATCTACAATGTGAGACGAGACTCAGCCCGAAACAGCAGGCGGTTAAATTGTACCTGCAACGTACAGTACACACTACACAGCATCAGGGGCGGATCCAGAGAGGGGGTCCGGACCCCCCTTTTTACCACCAAAAAAGGAAAAAAGCATACACACGCACGCGCGCACGCACGCACGCACACACACACACAAACTTCTCTCATATTGTCTCCATAAAAAAAATCTTGTTTAGCGCTAGTTTTTCTGATAAAGATTTACTTATATATATGTAAATTCGTTATAAAAATCTAGAAATGGGCAAAGAGGGGTCCGCAGGCGTCCGCGGGACCGGATCTGATAGATTTTTGCATTCTAGACATCAAAATTACTGCTCAGATACTCTCAGAATGCACCATTTTTTTCAAAAAAATCTTGGGGGAGGTCCCCCTAAGTCGCCTTCGGCAGCTTTTTAAAACACCAGAAAAAGTAAGCAGGAAAAAGTGCCCTTTATTTCTTCCTGGACACCCCCTTTTCAAGAATCCTGGATCCGCCCCTGCACATCGTCAAGTGTAGTATTCTTTCAAAAAGTGCCCACATCTAATATTCTAATGACTCACTCCAACAGGCTCAGTCTTACAGAATTTTCCTATTTGGTGAGGTCATTCATGTTAATATACATGCATGTGATGTATACGTCCTAAAATAAATAATATTTTATTTAAGATTATACATGGAGAGCGCACACTCATCAGCAGTTTGATATGAAAATGTTTATACCTGTCTCATTTGAAATAATTTTAAGGTGGCAAATATTTCCATATTTTATAACGTTCACATCTACCCAGTACATTTAATTATGTCAAAGTAAACATTATCAAAAGAATATTTTCTATTATGGACTCTTGATATTATATTGTTGGAATTATGCATTGGAAGTGCATCGCACACACTTGAGAGAAGCTATCCATAAAAAAACGCTATTCAAATGTTTTAAGTTCAAATCAATTGTATTTCAAATGATAACAGATATCCATGAGTAGGCAATGGCAATCAACCTGCTGTAGTTACCAAATCAAACAATAATTTTCTAACGCGCAATCATTTTTCTTGTAATAGATATATTATCATATATATAAAAAATTACTTTTAAATAAAGATACATATGCATCTATATTATTTCTATGATCGATTACATCGTTTAGTTTAGGAATAAACACGTTGCATGCAGGAGCATATCCAGAGACATGATACAAGATTGCGTGGCACAGCTTTGTTGTTGATCCCGAGCGCTGCGCGCAGATGAGACCATAGATATAGAAGAAGACCCAACACCGTCACTGAAGTACGGAGCTTACTGAGTTCTGCGGCGTTTTGTTCACGCTACATCAAGGATTTTGCCACCATCACACGTCATCTTCGAAGGTTGTCACACAAGGATGAACCTTGGAGATGGACAGAGGAAGAAGATACTGCGTTCACGAATCTCAAGAATGCTTTATCTGCTGAGACGACCCTTGGGTACTTTGATCCTGAAAAGGAAACTGTAATCTATACAGATGGAAGCCCAATTGGACTTGGAGCTGTGCTCACCCAGAAGGGTGTAGATGGAGATCCTGTGCCATTGTACTACGCTAGCTATCCACTTACTGCTACTGGATCCCGCTATCCCCAGATTGATCGTGAAGCGTTTGCAATCTACTGGGCAGTGAAGCGTTTCACCTGTATGTATACGGCAAGGACTTCAGAGTCGTGACCGACCATCAACCACTTGTATCGTTGTTCAATAACCTCTCATCAAAACCGTCCGCAAGAATCGAGCGTTGGCTAATGGACCTGCAGAGGTATCGATTTCACGTTGATTATGAACCAGGTGACAAGAACCCGGCAGACTACGGTTCGAGACATCCGAGCAGTACACCTGCAACATCTACGCTTGAGGGTGTAGACGAGAGAACTGACGGTCACATTGCATACATAGTACGCAATGCTGTGCCAAAGGCAATGACTTTGAGCAAAATTGAAACTGCAACAGTGAGTATTACTGTTATACAGGCAGTTAGCATGTGCATGAAATCAGGGCAGTGGTACAAACCTTCCCCTGGTGTCAGTGTTTCTGAACTGTCGAGATACGAGCAAATAAAAACTGAGTTGACATGCACGGCAGATCAAACTGTGCTTTTAAAGTCGAATCGTATTGCCATACCTGCACAACTTCAGCAGAGAACAGTAGACATTGCACATGAGGGTCATCTTGGTATTGTGAAAACTAAGGCTCTTAGTCAACTGGAGAAAGACCCTACAAGGTTTTCTTAGAACTTACAGATGTACTCCTCACTCTACAACAGACGTTGCAACTGCTACATTGTTCCTGAAGCGTGTGATCAAAACCAAACTACCCCAGATTGTGGAACATGACCCCATCAGTGACACAGTACGCGTACGGGACAATCAACAGAAGATGAAAATGAAATTCCATGCTGATTCAGCCAGATATGAGAAACCTACTGACCTACAAGTAGGTGACTCAGTGTTAGTGAAAACCCCATACAATCTTGTCAAAGGTGGCTTACCATGTGTCCATATCAAACCACACCACTAACCATTACTCAGAAGAAGGGTAGTATGATATCTGCATCAGATGCATGGGCAGCATTCTGTGACCAGAAACTCTTCATTCTTCAAGAAAATCCCAAGTGATATGGGAGTAGGCATGGAGAGAGACTGTTAGATCACAAGAGACGAGGACTTGTATGATCGGTTTGGTGTTGAATGGGCTGTTCCGCAGTCCCATTTAATGCCTAATCAGTTACCACAAGCTGATAACATTCCGCGGCCCATTGACATCCCATTGAAGTTGACTGTGAACCCTCAGACGTCACCTTTTGATACAAATAGGTCATCACCTCCTATTCCCCCAAGGCGATCAACCCGGATGAGGAAGGCTCCAGAGAGACTTGACATCTTTAGAGTTTGACTGTAGTGGATGAGAATGTTGTGAAAGCAGATAGCTTACAGCAATTTGTGAAATATAATCTCCAGTTTATGATTGTAGTGGACGAGTTAACCTTCAGTGTTAATCTATGTGAGCATCAGGCTCTAAGACAGTAATTTGTGTTTGAGCAAATAGTCCAAAGTTTATTAATAGTTATTGCATTAATTATTCGTGTAATTTTGTGTAAAACCAATATCAATGGTTATCCAGTGAGTGACTATAATTAAGCTGATTCAGTTAAAATCACCAGGAAGGGGATGTAATGTATTGTTTCATTATATTAATATTGCCCATACTAGATGGGGCCAGTTGTTCTCCCCTCCGAAGAACCAGAGTAATGATGCGACCGCATTGTCCGTTGTTTCTTATACTTGCGTTTATTTCACAATAAATCTATGTGAATACATCACACTAGTGATGAATTCTTTGGAATGCTCTAGCGTTTCACATCGTAGGGATCACAGTTCTGAGTGTGGTATGTCACGTGTCCACATATTAATCCAATTATTAACAAATGATGCAATAATAAAATCAGGCCTCTGTTCACACGAGTGGGCTGTGAATAGGGATACATTTGTCGATTTACTACAGGTCTGTAGATTGATCGCTATCAAACAACTCAGTCCTGGTTAGAAGTAGAAGCAATTGTGATTATGGTTTCAAACTGCATGTGTTTGTAAGGGAAAGATAAGGACACACACAAAAAGCTAAATCAAAAACGCAATCGGCGTTAAAACAATCGTTTCTTTTTACTTTTCTTAATCCTCTTCACCTCCTCCTTTGCCAGCTTCTCCTCTAGTTCCCTCCTCCTCGTCAACTCTGCCGTCTCCTCCAAGTTTTCTCTGGGTGACTTGCTCGGACTAACGCCGGGTGTGACAGAGCCCGCCACCAGCGATGGCGGCAGTCGCTCGTCGCCCCAGGATACGCCCGTAACGACGGACGTGTTGTTTTCTGTCACCTCTTCCTCGTTGTCTGTGCTCGACTCTGGCTCTCTGCACAGCCAGCGTCGCTTCAGGGTCAGTTCTCCGTAAAGACGCCGCACATCGTCCGACGAGAACGCATCTCGGCCGCCGGCAGCGACCGCCGCGTCGAAGCCCTGTGACGTCGCCATCTGGTGGCGGAACGCCGTTGCATCAAACGCCGGCGTGAGCAGTCGCCGTTTAGACAGCAGCGCCCCCTGCGATGTGTAGTCGGCAATTTCTGTGTCCTTGCGGGCAAGCAGTTTCTCGAGCTCGGTCTTCTGTCGGTGCAGTTCGCTGACTGTTGTCAGGAGAGGAATGACCATCATCTCACTTGTGCTCGCGCAAGGCAGTCTTCTGGCTGAAAATGTCCAGACAAATCTGACACTGGCTAATTTCGATGTGAAATCGATGTCCAAGTTGTCATTGCTCTGAGTCACGTTGAACGTTACACCCTCAACAACCTGCGCACTGATGACCGACTCTATGTGGTGCAATATTCTTCTCAGCGGTGCCTCCAAGTGTGGATTCATGGTTTTGGTTTGTCCTAAGATATCATCTGCTTGTGCCTTGCATTCGAACAAACCATCATTGTAAAACCACATCAAGGAATAGCTACTCTCGGAGAAAATCATCTTCACAAAGGTAGGCCCCATGCACCCATTGACCTGGAATGGCTGCCAAACAGCACTGGCCAAATCAGACTTGTGTTGCCTTCTCCACTCTATGTATTCAGCCATGATTGGCGATGTGGTGCTTATGCTTGATAATAGTTGTTTGTACTCAGTCACTTTATTATTCAAGAGTTAGTCTATCAACATGACTCTCTTCTCCTCCCCCTCCTTCTCCTCCGGTAGACTCCGCTATGGTAGCTTCCTCTGCTTGAAGACTCTCTTCCTGCTGTTTAACCTTCTCCTGTGCATCCTTCTGCATCTTCTCTAGCTTCTCAAGTGTTACAGATTTCATAGGAAGCAGTTTTGGTTTACACAGCACGAGTTTGGGTGTGTCTTCTTCGTAGAGTAGACCATGCTTCGGAAGCACCTCTTGATATGCATTTCTCGTTTCAGACATATCTGCGAAAAAGGATAATAAAATGTACAACAATACAGAAAAAATTCTATACAACCACTAGATTTACTAATGGGCTAATGATGTACACACAGGCACTTGGGCTGAAAGGGTCTATGACTATGTCCCCCGGGGTACTGCCGGAACGTACCCTGGTACTATCTAATATCATAT